GGGCCCCGCGCGGCCCCCCCGAGGCCACCGCGGAGCCCAGCGGGGATGGCGACGTCTGGGAGATGGAGGAGGACGACGGGAGCGGCGAGGACATGGTCGATGATTACGGAGCCTCATCCTGCTCTTCCGAGGAGGAGGAGGTAGGAGCTCCCTGCTCTTGGGCTGGTGGGGGGAAAAAGCAAAAGCCCCGCGGCTTTGCTGGCTATAGGGACCCGCGAGCCTTGGTGGGAAAGGGGCGCGTTGCTGGAAGGCGGCAGGGGAGGGTAGAGGGGCGCTTKACCCTTCTGTCCCTCACAAGATCCCCTTCACGTTCAGCGGCTGGTCCCGGCGGGACACTCGCTGCCTTCGCCCGTTGTCCCTCCTAAAYAGAGCCCGTGTATTTCACAGAGCGGCAGGGACTAGGGGGGCCCCTCTTGGTGTCATTTCTTTAACCTTCTGTCTCTCTGTGTAGCTGCTGCCCATTGAAAAAGCCGCCCTGAAGCAGAAACGTGCCAGGTGAGGAAGCAGAAACGTCCCAGGCAGCAGGGCCCTTCCCTTCGTGGGTGAGAGCTCGCGCGCAGCTGCCATCCCTTCGGTGGAAGAAGCGTCTGAGGATCCTGCCCTTGTGCGTGTGTGTTTTGGGTTTTTTAAACATTCGTTTTAATTTGTGCCTAGAGGAGGCCTTAGTGAAGATGACAGTGAAGAAGAGGAGGAGGATGAGGAGGAGGAGGAGGAAGAAGTGTCAGAAAAGACAGACAAGCAGAAAAAGGAGCAGCAGAAAGAGGAGAACGTGGATCTGCAGCTTAACCTGGATGTAGATGAGGAATTCAGGCTGCCAACGGATGAGCAGATTGAGAGGGAAGATATCCTTTCACCGCGGCATCCACGTGTGGCTGCGGCACCACGGAGCTTCGCCGGCGCTTCGTGGCGAGCGCTGCTGAGCAGATCTGTGCCGGGCAGGGCCTTTACGTTGAGTTGCCGCTGGCCACAGTCAGGGGCAGCTTTGTGGCTCTGCCCTCCTGTGCTGCGTGGTGGGCACCTGCCGTGCCCTGCTCCGTGTTTGTCCCGCCGTGCTTAGACCCTCTGGCCACAGCAGTGCTGTCACCCAGGCCCTGCTCGTTCTTGGGCCTTAGTGGGTTTTTTCATCTCTTTTTCCTCCCCGCCCAGTCCAATTTAATCCCTTATTTTGCACCTTCTTTGCTCTCAGGAGTTGCCTTTAGAGAACTTCCAATCTCCTTTCTGTTACAAGCAATGCTTCTAAYGTTGAAAGGCCTTTTCATGTCTCGCCACCCTTTTTTCTGCTTTCCTAGACTAACCGAGCTTCAGCTTTTTCAAACACCGCCTTTCCCCTGATTTGTGAACTTCCTTGTCGTGTTGCTGTCTTTTGCTTCCAGTGGAGGGGCGGCGCGGAGGCTCCAGCGGGGCCCTGCTGCGCAGCCGCGGCGCTTCGGGCCTCTTGCCTGGCGCTCGCGGGTGGATTCCTTGGCCTTTTGCGATTCCTTGACGGTCCTTCCACCTGCTGAGCCCCCTGACCTGCACGTCATTCACCAGCGCATCAAGGGCAACATGGAGGTGCTGCAGGACTTTGGGGTGAAGCGGGAGGAAGGGCGCACGCGGCAGGAGTACCTTGCGCTGCTGCGCCGGGACATGGCTGCCTACTATTCCTACAGCGACTTCTTGCTCGGGAAGCTCATGGACATCTTCCCGCTGCCCGAGGTGGGGCCCTGCTCCGCCCATGCCCTTTGRGGGATTTGGCCTCCGGAGCTGGGCTTCACCTCGGGTTCTCTGCTCCTTCCTTGCTGCAGCTGATCAGCTTTTTGGAAGCCAACGAGGTTCCGCGCCCCGTGACCGTCCGCACCAACACGCTCAAGACGCGGCGGCGGGACCTGGCGCAGGTGGGCGCAGCTCCGGCCTGCCCCACGCCGCTGTCGCGCCGCGCCGCTCGGAGGCCTCACACSCCCCGCTTTCTCTCGCAGGCTCTGATTAACCGCGGCGTGAACCTCGACCCCTTGGGGAAGTGGTCCAAAACTGGACTTGTTATTTATGACTCCTCGGTGCCCATCGGTGAGATTGGCCTTTCTGTCCTGGGGCTGAGCTGACCCGCTCCCGGCTCCCCTGCACTCTACCCGTGGTCTTGTGCTCTGCCCAGGTGCCACCCCGGAGTACCTGGCCGGCCACTACATGCTGCAGGGAGCTTCTAGTCTCCTCCCGGTCATGGCTCTGGCCCCACAGGAGAACGAGCGCRTCCTGGACATGTGCTGTGCCCCCGGCGGCAAGACCAGCTACATAGGTGCGTCGCCGCGGCCCCGGTGGGCAGGGCTGGTCTGCAGAGTGACGCATTTCCGTGGGTCCCCTTGGATGGGACTGAATTGAGGGAAAGGAGGGATGTGATTTGCCCTATGGGCAAAAGTGCAGGCAGCTTTCATCCCCTTGACGACGTATTTGGCCCTGCAACAGCTCAGCTCATGAAGAACACGGGCATGATCTTGGCCAACGACAGCAACGCTGAGCGGTTACGCAGCGTGGTGGGGAACTTGCATCGTTTGGGCGTCACCAATGCTGTTGTGAGCAACTGCGATGGACGCCAGTTCCCCAAGGTGAGCTCCTACCTGCCCTGGGGTGTCTTACCACGCTTAGCTAGACCTGTGCCATCCCTGCGGCTAGGCTGKGCTCCTTGGAGTCACTTGTCACAGGATGGTGAGCAGAGCTGTAAGGTTTGGTGTGCAGAGGGGAGTGAGATCTTTCCTGCCTCCCCTGTCACCTGGTTCCACTTCTGGTGTCAGTCTGGTCTCGTGCATCGTGAACACAACTGCGAATGTGTGTGCCCTGCAGGTGCTGGGAGGGTTTGACCGTGTCCTGCTTGATGCTCCTTGTAGTGGAACGGGTGTCATTTCCAAGGATCCTGCTGTTAAAACCAATAAGGTGAGTGAGCATGGGGACATGAGATGGGGCCTTGTATGCAAGTATTGAGTGGAAAGATTTTTCTGGGCAGTTTCATTCTTGAGTGTTTCCTGCAATGGCCAGACTGATTTTCCCTTTCTTTATTCTGCGTTGCACTGGAACGTGCTTTTCTAGGGGATTAGTTCTGCAGAGGACCCCCAAATCTTGATGTTCTATCACATGTGCTCTGCTCGCCTGTCCTCCCTTCATCCACTGCAGCTTGTGAAGCCTGGGTTGCTTCTTTGTGCCTCTGCCCACCGAACCTCTCTGTTTCAGGATGAGAAAGACATCCTGCGCTGTGCCCACCTGCAGAAGGAGCTGATTCTCAGCGCGATCGACTCGGTGAACGCGGCCTCGGAGACGGGGGGCTACATAGTCTACTGCACGTGCTCCATCACAGTAAGTGCCCTCGGTGCTCTGCCAGGAGCATCTGCTCTTCAGGGTGCCAGCAACATTAGCAGGAGGCCAGCAAGTGTTGGATGCTAATGTTGAATCTCCGGCAGGTGGAGGAGAACGAGTGGGTTGTGGATTATGCCCTGAAGAAACGCAACGTTCGCTTGGTGCCCACGGGCCTGGACTTTGGCAAGGAGGGCTTCACCAGGTGCGTGCCAGGCCACAGGCTGCACGGGCAACTCTGTTCC